CCTTTACCTACCTACTCCAATCAACCAGAAAAGTGAAGATCAGAGCCAACTAGTTAGTGATCCAAGATGAAGACTTCGTTGATCCTCGCCATGACCTTCGTGAGCGTGACCATCGCTTTGCCCAAGGGCCAGACTCCCAGCACCGTCGTTTCTCAGGTAATCAAATCGGCAATATAACCAACCGTGTGCTTGACTTCAAGCTAATACGCATATCTTTCTATGATCTAGCAAGCAGTATGTTCCAATGGTACCCCCTGTACCCATCAGGCACAATGCACCAGATTTGGCAGAGAGTGCTTTTGTCAGGTAACTTTACAAAACTCCTGGTCACTTTAATTGAAAACCCAGTGTATAGTTATCTGACACGCTTTTTCTGGTAGAACGGAGGCGCCGAGGGGGCAGCTGGGCTCTGTGCAAACTGGGTGGAATTAGCACATGGCGCAACTGGAGGGCACTAGACTCGTTGGAACTGGGCTCTTTGCTTTGTCCGTAAGGCGTTTGGTGGATTGACTATTTCAATGACTTCTTAAGGGGCACTTGCCATCCCAAAATATTGGTGTATTCCTTTCTTCAAACGACCTTTTTTTCTTTCTTTTCTTTTCTTTTCTTTTTTTTTGGAGAATGGCGAATTAACAGGACGAAGGTGAAATGGTGTGGCTCGAATGAAAGGATTTATTAGGGCCGCAAACATCCTGTCCTCGGCTCAGAAGACTGTTTTATCCATAAGTTAACGCAAAGACAATGCAATAAAACGGAAACAGGCGCCAAATATTATACACGGTAATAAAACGGGGACGAAGAAACAAAGCATAATATGATGGTAACCGCTGTTCGAGTATGCTCATGCATATCGTCACTGGACCCGAGTCAATCAACCATTGCATCTTGCATCGGTGACAATATGTCTAGCAAGCAATGGACACTTGCTTTACCCTTGGAACTTTAGAAGATCAAGTAGAGACTAAACATCAGTCAATTTGCCAGCATCAACTGAACTTCTTTCATGGATAGCACGGCGATGCTTAAGTTCATTTCTGTTACGAGCCACACCCTGTGCAAACTTGGATCTTGCACGAATTTGGGGGCCTTTCCAGTAGAAGATGTAGATGGGTACAGTGACAAGAAAAGATATGCACCCTAAGATGGTGGAGGGCATCTCGAGGTGATACTTGTGTTTGATGTTTCGATACACTGGGAAGAAGACAGTTAGAATTATCAGCGATTTACTAGTGCACGCGGTGAATAATGATGAGTTACATACTTGGCGTGGAGTAGAGAGCAGCAATGCCTGCTAGAAAGTCTCTCGCTAGAGCGTTGCCGCCGGTTGCTGAGGCGGAATATGGGCCGTAGCTTGCGACCATGTAATCAATGGTGGCCATGTAAATGCAGTACTAAACATAGTGCAAATTAGCAGTATATCTTACAATGTAATATTTTCTGGATACTAACATTTGCAATGGCAATGAGCATCGAAAAAAACATCGGGGCGAACCAATGTACCGCAGGAGGCCCCATGCTTGTCCAGGCAAATCCAAAGAGACCAATCGTCTCCAAGGGAGCAGCTATAGGGATGGGTTAGCATGGTTATAGCAAATTAGGCAGGGAGATATTACTGACTAAAGAGGAGCCACCAGAGCCGTGACTCTGGGTCAAGGCCGTCAGGATTTCTCGCCATGGCTCTTTTATCTTTCACTATCACGGGGAAAAATGAAAAATAGGCAAGGAAGTAGCCAACCATGATTCTGTATTAAATGAGGTTAGGAGCATATTTGAACATAGTATAGGGAATAGAACATACGGGATAAAGGCAAGACCAGTTTGAATGGTGTCGAAATCCCAGCGGCTATACACTGGGCGGAATGATTCGAGAAAGGTGAAAATTAGGGCGTCACTAAACCCGCTGAGGAGAGAAAGAAACAGGACAATCGGTTCGCGGACAAACATGCTAAACGGGCGAACCCAGATTGTAATAACTTCTGTAAATGTGAGGCTGGATCCACGAAGCTCCAGCGGACCATAAACATTCGCAATACCTGACTTCCGTTGCTTTTTTGCCAGATTATTCAACACAATGGTCGAGCGGGTTTCTGGTACCAGGAGAAAGTGAGCAAGCTGGACCACGGCTCCCAGAATCAGCTGGATCCAAAAATTCCACCGCCAGTGGAGACGGACTTCCATGAACCCTCCGGCAATAGGACCAACGACGGAGCCAGCAACAGAAGACAAAACGATAAAAGCAACTGCATACTGTTGCTGATCTGGTTCCCACATGTCTGCTATCATTCCCATAGTGACAGAGCCTCCAGCCGAAGATAAGCCTCCGAGGGTACGGCCGGCAACGATGTAAGAGAAATTGGGGGCGAGAGCGCACAAAACCTGCCAGGTATTGACTAGAAGCAAGCTAAGCTGCATGACCGGCCATCGGCCAAGTTCCTCACTCCATGGCGCCCAAAGCTCACTTCCGAACGCATATGCAATCAGGAAAGACATCTGGCCGAGTCTGGCGGTGGCTTCGGAGATTGAAAAATGACTGGCCATAGGAACAATAGCGTTGGCGTAGATGCTCGTGTTGAAGTTCATGGAGACCTGCACGAAAAAGATGATAACAAGAATTGTCCATTTCTTCCAACAGGGGTATGAAAACGGGAGCTGATGGTAGTTTTCTGACTCTTGTATCTCAAGCCGAGCAGCTTTAAGGGCCAGGAAGCTTTCACCATATTGGCTGGAACTATCAGCTGCCAAAGTACTGGTGGCAGCAGTGCTGCCGGAGGAAACGGTCTCAACAGGGGGTGCCTTTTCATGGACGGTGGGAAGGCTGGCGGTATCTTCTTCGGCTGAGCTATCTGAACGGCGATTTCTGCTGGTGTCGATCCTAACCGTGGTGACTCTTTGGCTAGACATGATGATAACCAATGCAACTATAATCCTATAACAAAAAAGAATAGAACATGGATATTGAACGCAGGCTGGCCCTGCAAATGGAAAAATCGATGGTGCACGGCATCAGATTCATGGATGTCTCGAGCAGAAGAGACAAGAAGAGGCCTTGGAGTCAGAAGGGACAAAAAAAAAAAAAAAAGAAAAAAAAAGGAAAATAAAAAAGAAAGTAAAAAAGGACAGACGAAGGGGAAAGAACCACGACGTTAGAATAAACAACAACAGGGCCTGTTGCGCCTTCTGCATGGGAGATGTCATTTAACTAGTGGAAAGAGCATGGCCTTAAAAAGAGAAGGGCCGAACGATGGGTATTAGGATGCACCTGCTCCTAGAAATGCAAGTAAACAAGGAAGGTAAACAAAACAGAGTTTTCCCCATGGATGTTTATATTTAGATCTGATGAACTCGAGCAAGTAAAAAAAAAATCACATGTCGTCATCGTCCGGGTCATAGAGATCGAGGTCGAGTTTCGGCTTGGCCTTTGGTGGTTCTGCGGTATGGCTGGCACTGTTCCCAGCTTGGTGGTTTATAGCTGCAGTTCCTGAGCCTGCAGGGTGGCCGGCACCTGAATCTGAATCAGGTTGCGGTTGATCTCCTTGTCCTGCTGGTTGAGTCTCCTGTTTTGATATATCCTTCTGCGTTGCAGCCTTCAGGATATGCTCAACCTCCTTTTCAACATCCTTCCCTTCTGCAGCGGCAGTAGCATGGAGATGGGCCATAAGGCCCATACGGATGCGGTCCTCGCTAGGGTACGGGAGTGCAGACATGAGCCGTGTCCAGTTGGCGGTCTCATCCAGCCAGGAGACGGTGTCCTGAGGCAAGGCAGCAATACCAACGCCGGTTGTCTGCCCGTGGCCTGAAGCTATTCCGTCCTCCTTTGCTACCTCGCCATTTGTATCTGCTGCCGTGTCGCCGCCTGGTGGCTCCTTTGACAGTACCCTTGCGCTGGAGGCATCAGCAGCAGCTTCGTTGTTGTACTTGCTTATCCGCCTGGCAAATCCAAGTAGCAATCTGTAGTCCACTTCATTCTTCCGTGTCCCATCTTTGCCCTTCCCGCTCATTTCAATATCACCCCCGGCCTCATCGTCGCTGTCTTCGTCCGAGTCGTCGTCGTCGTCGTCTCCCGCAGCCGCAGAGATCTCGTCTCCTAGCTCCCCGACCTGCCGAACGGTCTCGCGTACCCTCTCCTCCAGGCTGAGGGCTTCAGCACGCAGCCGAAGGATCTTTGAGTAGTTTTCCTGGTGTGTTCTCAGAGTCTGCAGCGCGCTGGTGAGCGCGTCGTCCGCTTCGAGGAGTGAGACTGCTGCTGCCGGAGCTCCAGATGCCGTAGGAGTCGACGTGATGGAGGCGAGCAGGGCGTTAAGCCGGGCCTCCAGGGAGGTGAGAGGCGCCAGTATCTCTGCATTCATGGTATCTCGCGGCCTTGCATGTCGTGTTGTGCCGCTCTTCTGCTGCGCTTCGTTTCTTCTCCAGCTGTTGAAGTCGCTGGGCAGTTATATGCTTACGTAATCAGTGTATAGTTGATGAAGCAGAGAAGAAGACGAAGACAGTGGAAGAACAGTGTGAATTGAGTGCAGGACAACGAAGGCGTGAAAAGAGATCGCATCAAACCGGTATCACTTCTCATACTGGGTCATAATAGTCACTGTTTGCAGTGCGCGAGCTACAGGCTGGCCGTACGGAAGTTTTGTTAACGTCGTCCTCCGCCGAGCCTCCCGCCCTCAACTCCGTCTCAAGGTCCTTCAATCTCCTACGAGCTACCAACATATAAAACGCTTCCAGCCTCTGCCTTATACGACTGTTTGCCAGATACATCCCCCTACGCGCTTTCACGGCCCTGCTCCTTATCTACGCTTCTGCTTCGTTTCGCCCTCCTCGCATCGCTCCGGCCTTCCTCAACCAGCGTCTCTACTGGTTAACGTTCACTGCAGCCCCGCCAGCCGCTGTAACTGCTCTCACCAACCAACAACCCTATCCTCTAGCCAGCGTCGAATACACGGCTTTTTCGCCGTGATACAGAGGATTTCTCAGCTACCTGGGCCTGCGCAAGGAGCTACGACAGCATGGGTAAATCGTGAGTAACCTCTTGGACCTCTCCCTGCAACCTCGCGATCGATCGCCTCCCCGCGTCCAAGGCTTTGCGGGGGACTAGTTACCGTAAACACCAAGGCTCTCCTGCAGGTCCTGAGCAGAAGACACATATACGCACTCCCAAACTTGAAGAGCTATGCTGCGATAACCAAGTCGTCGATCTCAGCTCACCAATACTCCCTCTCCACTATGTGTTCATTCGTGAAGGTTACCGGCTGACGGGTCGCTTCTTACCTCCGCAGGCAGTCCAAATTATCGCCGAGCCAGCTCGAAGAGCTTCAGAGATCAACACATTTTGACAAGAAGGAGCTCCAGCAGTGGTATAAAGGTCCGTTTGACGAAGCATATGAATCAAGCTTTACCCCCGTTGAGGCATTTCTGCTGAACCAACAATTTGATAGGCTTCCTCAAAGACTGCCCGTCCGGCACCCTTACAAAAGAAGAATTCCAGAAGATATACCGGCAGTTTTTCCCCTTCGGTGACCCATCTTCGTTTGCCAATTATGTCTTCCGTGTGTTTGACGCAGATGGAAGCGGTATGATCGATTTCAAAGAGTTTATCTGTGCCCTTTCCGTCACGTCAAGGGGCAAGATGGAGGATAAACTCGACTGGGCGTTCCAGTTATACGATATCGATGGAGATGGCAAGATCAGCTACGAAGAGATGCTCGCTATCGTCGAGGCTATTTATAAAATGGTAGGCTACTTACCGAGACACTGCGACTTGAATATGTTTTACTGACCTTTCGTAGGTTGGGTCCATGGTCAAGCTCCCCGAGGACGAAGACACTCCTGAAAAACGGGTACAGAAAATATTCCGGATGATGGACAAGGATGAGAACGGAAGCTTGGATATCAGCGAGTTCAAGGAAGGGAGCAAGCGAGACGAGACTATAGTTAGTGCTCTATCCTTGTACGATGGCTTAGTATAGGGTGTTGTTATCCATTCCATGGCGGCGTTTTCTTTTTTTCTTTCTTAACTATTTATTTGTTTTTTCTTCTTTCCTCCTGCCTTATCGTCACAGTCAACTGACTACTCACTACCCTCTGCCATGCTGTGATTATTTTTGTTTCCCCACTCATGTTATTACTGTTATTTTACTAGACGGTCCACATCTCGCTGATGCCGTTCGAGGATCCAGGCCTATGTTTGCTTGGTACTTCCTTATATCCTATAGCTATCCTTTCCGTTTACCGTTTGCTGTGTTGTGCTATCATATCTCTTGCCTGTATAACTACGTCATTTGACCAATTTCCTGAGATATCGGGAATGGAGATGCAAGTGTAAGGGGAAAAAGTGTATACGAGATTTTAATTTTTCATCAAAATAGCAATCGTAGATCTAAAGCCAACCTGCCGGTTTTAGTCATTAAGAGGGCAAACGGTGGGATAGTAATACAGAGACTTTAAAATCCGGTCTAGGATGGGGGAGAAAAAAAGGGGGGGCGCTAGGAATGACCCCCGAGAAGTATAGTACGGGACTAAATCACAGCATTGACGGATAAAAATGACGTAACAATGAATGATTTTAGTCGACCTTGATGGAGCCATAGATCCTATGGACAAAGGCCCAACTGGCAAATAACCCAATGGTACCTAAATTTTGTTTGGGAAAATGTTATCAGCCCACAGTCTGTGATTGTAAGACATCTGGAAATAGGGTGGAGCTTACCTGTTAACACAAAGACTAGGAAAGCCAAGAGTGCAGAGTAGCCGAGATATAGAACAGCACCAGTCACACCGCCAAAACTGACGCGGGTTGCCCAGAAGATAAGTGCGTTAAGGAAGACATATCCGCCGGTCATACCGGCACCAATGAATGCCCTCCAGTGCCATCGGTAGTCTTCTGCACAGAGCAAGAAGTAGACGAGGAGTATGGTGGTGGTTGCAGAAGTCATAATCATAAGTCCGTAGCACAGAAAGAGGAATCCAAACATGTAATAGATTTTGTTCGTCCAAAGGGAAGTCATGATAAAGTATAGCTCCACGAAAATAGTGGCGAATGGGAGCATGCCAGTTATCAGTGTTGATGGGAGAGGGCGGAGAGACCAGACTGCTGGAGGAATCTGACGGGGGATCTGGTTGGTTCTGGTAGGTCCTTCAAAGCCCTATGGGAGCGTTAATATTTAAAACACACTGGGTTAGAATGCAGGTATGCTTACGGGTAGCTTAAGTCCGATCCAGCTGCCTGCAACGCTAAGCGGCACGCTGATAACAAACCAGATGATAACAGTGAGAAGCATAGTAGTAAACGGAACAGCACCACTGGATCCTTTAGCCCAAACAAAAAGATTGAGCAAGAAGAAGGTAGAGAACGCGATGGCTGGGACGAGTATTGGGGTGAGGATGATCAATCGCTTCCAAGATTCACCTCCAAATGACTTGTACGTTCTTGCGGCGACATAGCCACCGACGAAGCCAAGGAGAGTATATAATATTAAAATAACAGTTCCCAAGAACCCTCTGTTGGAGGGTGAGAGGAGGCCAAAGAGTGCAAATACTAGCGATAGGTTAGACAACAGAAAAGTGTCGAGAAAGGTGTCGAAAACTTACCAACGGTGATGCCGGTCATGACGAAGAGCTGAGCACCATTTCCTACCAGCAAGCTGAGCAAAAGCGGGTAGTTTGGAGTGCGGAACACATCACCATGGACTAGCTTCCAGCCGGAATCTTCCTGTATTCCTTCTTCCACGGAGTCACCGTTGTCATTGAAGTCATCCATGTTGATCATACTCAGACGGTTGTACCGCGCAATGTCCTTCCGCAAGGCCCGGAGCAAGATGCTGCTCACCAGGGTAACAAGTAAGATGACGAAGACGGCGGAGTAGATAAGCCAGTACCAGTGAACACTGGGATCGTAGACATGTAGATATTTATCCCACCTAGTCGCCCAAGCGGTGGAAGACTCACGCCAAGTGACACTATACGTCCAAGCTACAGAGGTATCCGCCGTACCATCCAGAAGCACAATGTCCTTGCCAGAGCAATCGGCCTTGCCTCCAGACACCTTTGTCTTCCTGGACGACGGGTGGACGAGAACCCCAACAACACGGTACTTCTCCTTGGTCCCGAGCCCGGCAACGCGATGGTACTCGATATCAATATCGTAGTGGTTGTAAAGGAACGATTGGCCGTCGCTGTTAATATCACCTAGGAGGAAGCCGGGGCTGTAGAACTGCTCGTTTGTTTGGTCATCGGTGTTTATCTGGGCGGCGGGGAGGCCGTCAATGAGCCAGTTGATGTTATAGCCCTGCCATATTCTGTGGTTCACGAATTGGCTGCTGAGCCCGTCAAACTTGACCTCCGGACAGAGCAGCTTGCAGGACTCGTTCTTCGCCATGTGTAGCTCAAAGGGCGAGGTGAGGATGCGATCACCGAAGATGATGCTGCCTAGGGACTCCCGGACATCCTTAGGCCCATCCTTGGGCTTGCAGAAGTGGAATGATGGGTGGTAGTAGTCGTAAGAGAAGACGGAGTGAACCTGGGCATCCTGGGCCACCGTTGGCGTAAGATGGTTGACATGAAGTGGAACTTTCTGCCCGACATCGTAGGAGGTGGGAGCTACACCAGGTAGATAGAAGGCTGAAGAAAGGATCGGGGAAAATAGCGAGAGCAAGAGATGCGACTTGCTTTGAGGCCACATCGTCGCAGATCTGCTGCGTCAGGCCGTGAGCCGGTGGTCTTCCTCGCCAGTGTCCAGGGAAGGGTAATAGCTTACATGGATGCAGTATTGTGACTTTTTGGCCCAGGCCAGCTCAGGGAGACATGCGAGCCCGTGGATATGAAACGACAGCAGAGCTCTTCTCTCAGCTGAAAGAGCGTACTCTATGGCTAGTCAGCCAGGTGTTGTATGGCAGTCTGTTCTCTCTGCTGTTCTTGCTGTCTTGCTATCTTGATGTCGTCGTCGTCGTTGTCGTTGTCGTTCTCGTCTTGCTTCGTCGAAAAGGAAGAAGCTGATGCGACTGCTTAGTCAGCAGTCGAGCTAGTTAAGTAAGCTGGTTTTGACTTTTCCGCCTCGATATAAAAATTCAACGACCTTGGTTTGACGTCTGCTGCGACTTGAGTGCATATTTTGATGCTCCAGACATGGACTGTCTGTTGATTTAGGCCTCGGGTAAGCTCCGTTAAATGGAGTCTCGCGCTGTCTGGCCTCTTGTCTTGTGGCCTCCTACCGACCTTGCCCTGTCATCCAAGAAAACTTGGAGTTTCCCGATGAACTGTCTTCAACCGTTCGAATTCCGGCGGACATCGGGGGTTCTTCTGCCCACTGCTTTGGGCATCACCTACACTACCAAGCGTTGTGATACACCGCAATGGTCCATCTTAATGGCATCTTAAGGGTGTAACTATTATTGTCCCTGTCAAATTGGCCCAGGTTGCACATGAGCTGACTCAGCAGTTCAGCAACACAACGTCCTTTCGCTTCAATCAACTCAATATCAACTTCAACAGCTTGCATTTTATCCATCTACGAAAATGAACCTGGAGACATGAAGCTCCATATTTACAGGAAGCTGCGGGTTGTTCGTCAGTCACGCCATTTCACCATCCCTCTAGGGGAGTGAATTTGGCCAGGACGCCATCTCTCGGTGAGATAGTTGCTTGTTCTCGCACCTCTAGTTTAGCATCTGGGTATTTCAATTCAAACTCAAAACTACCCACTACTGCTGCAAGAAGACAGGCAAGCTCAGATTTGGCGAAACCCTGTCCAATGCAGCTCCGTGGACCATGGAGGAAGCTTAAGAAAGCATAGTTGCTGGTTGCGCCGCCCTTATTGGCATTTCCAGGGCCCATGAAGCGATCTGGGTTGAATTGGCCCGCATCTGGTCCCCAGAACTCTGGCATGTGGTTAATAAGCTCCGGCGAAATAACAATCTGCGTGTTCTTAGGTATAGGGTTGCCCATCAACGTAGTATCTTTGAGGGCGACCCGGACAGTGTTTGGTATAGACGGACAGAATCGAATAACCTCGTTGCAGACAGCGTTTAGATACTGAAGGTTATCGACTGCTGTAGCATCAATAGGGCCTGGATTCCCGACATTAATAGGTGGTAGATTAGCGCGCACCTCTTCACGGAGGCGGGTCTGGACCTCCGGGTGCTTGCAAAGCGAATATATAGCCCACTGAAGAGCCGCAGCGGTAGTTTCATGACCGGCCCCCAGGAAGGTCATCAGCTGGTCGACGAGGTTTTCGTCGTCAAAGTTTCCGCTCTGCATTGCAACCGAAATAATGTCAACGCCGATCTCCACATCCGGATCCTTCATCTTCGCTTTGTGCTCTTCGATCATCTGCCGTGCAGCATTGCGGATATTGCTGCGACCTGTATCGATTGTCTTGTTTCGCCTAGTGGGTAATTTTGCCAACCACTTCGTGTCTCCAAGGAGCATTCCAAGCATAAAAAGGGCCTTGGTCGTTACGTCAGGGGCCGTGAAGACCATTTCATACGATCTACTAAGACTGTTTTCAGGGTCGCGCAGTGAGTCGAAGTCCCGACCTATCCCCGCCAGGCCGATGATGTCCAGCGAAGAGCGGCCGGCCCAGTTTCTGACTTCAATCGTATTGTCTTCGGTAGGTTTTCGACCTTTTAGTTCCTTTCGAATCAACCTCACCATCTCTATACTCTTGGACCAGAAGACAGGATAGAGATTCTTTATATGACGGTATGCAAAGGCTGGCATAAGATTCTTGCGTTGGAACTATATGGATACCTGTGAGAATTGAAACATAGAACTGGAGACATTAAGCGATCGTCTTCTACCTTGTGCTCGTCGCCTTCAGCAAGCAAGATGCCATTGCCGAGCAGTCGACCCAATCCTTGCTGTATCACCAGTGGCTTTGCAAAATCGTATGCTTTGCTTACTAAAATCTCGCTTAGTACTTTGGGGCTAGTTACTGTGATCCTTTCAAGGTTTCCCGCGATGTAGTAGCGAATGATCCCTTCATTGGGAATGTCTCTCGCCCACACCTTCATTTCGGCATGAGGGGTGTCTACAAGCAGGCTCTTCGTGTTGCCTGTGAGCCAGTGTCGATTCTAGACAATATTAGTATCTGAGTCAAACTTGCAACTAGGTATCTAGTAAGATAAAAGTGGTTACTCACTGATGGGGTGGGAAAGCATTTTAACGGCGTGAAGAATCGAGGATAGAGAAAGAGCTGATAGACAAGTTTTGATAGGATGATTATTATAGATAGAATAGCGATTGCCGCGACTCTGGATCCACACATGGCATATTCCGGCTTGAAGTAGACACCAGCCGCCACTCCGAGGTAAATAATACTGAAAATATCGTCGATGTGCCCCATCATGGCGTTGAATTTGAGTCAATGGTGGGCACACACCATATCCGCAGAATAGGACCCTTCGGCAAAAGTGATTGTCAGTGTTATATGTACACCCACGGTGGAGGTTGCTGATTGAGGAATAGCCTTCGATTTTGCTAAGCTTCTTGGGATTACCCCTGGACACAAACTACGGATTCAAATATGTATGAGATGGGAGTGCATTGACATCAGCGATTGGAGAGGGGCCCGGGATCCGGCGGCGGCGGCTCGGCCCGCAGCTGAGCCATAAACTTTAAGTATAACTAACGAGTTAAACTTATCTGGCAGCTTGGCGTGGCGATGAGGCTCTTAACTACCTCACACGGTGTAACGAGTTGCACGAAGCTAAACTCGATTTTTATACTCGCATATGAGCTTGAAATCGAACCATACATACACATATGTCGCGTGGTATGATAACTGACTACTGTGACCAGATATAGAGAGCAAAATCTTCATTTGTCTGCCTTGGTTGAGGTTGCGAATTGACGATACCATTATGTGTCCAAGCCTGTATCTATGTGGTTTTTCCATCATGGTATTTTATAGGTCCATTTGCATCCCATAATGTTGAACTTATGCGGAACTAATCAGTTCCACATATTCTAATACACATTCGTGCCTCATGCATTCGCCGCCATCAGCGCGTAGATCTGCTGCGCGGCTTTTGGCAACTTCCCCTTTTCACCACCCTCCTCAATCTCAATCATCTCACTCACAAAGCTGCAAATCGTGGCTGCCAAGTAATCCACCTCCGCCTCTGTATTTCTAGCATGAATCATCACCCTGACTCGGGACTTGCCTTTGGGAACCTGTGGGTAGTCGATAGGGACAACAGCTATTTTCGCTAGTTGTAGGTGGAAAAAAAGCCACCAGTTGTACTTTTGTCGGGTCCAGATTGGTACTATGTGCGTCACAAAATCGTTGGACTCATAATCCTCGCTCACGGGGATAGACAAGATACCCGTATCGGTTGCTTTATCCCAAATGGGGTTGGAAATAATGGTTTTGAAGAAATATTTGACAAGATGCTGTATGTTGTCTTGGGCCTAGTTAATTTACCACTGTTAATATATAGCATGGAAAGGTGTTCCACGGATTTGCAAGCGGTCACGTACTTTCTGGGTGGCGCCAGTTCTCATCAGATTGTACGCTGCTCGAACTACTGCAACCGAAGGGAAAGACGGGGCCGTGGTATTCACCAAAGACCCGGCAAAATTTAGCATCGTGTTTCGGACCGTTGTGTTTCCAAGAACAACAGCTTTTGAAGATATGGTTAGTTAATCTGCTTTCTCAATATTAAACTTGAGTTCTGATCTCACATCCAGTGCAGGCCAAAGCCTTCCCGCAAGTATTAAGTCGAATTGCGATATCTTTCTCGAGGCCTAGCAACTTGACAAGACCAACCCCCCGCTCACCAACAACTCCAGTGGCATGGGCTTCATCCGCAATAAAGGCAAAGTTGCCCTTGGGACAGATCTCTCTAGCAATCTCAAGCATCTCCACTAAAGGGCAGACATCTCCATCCATGCTATATATCGACTCTACAGATACGAGTATCGAGCGTGAGCCGTCTTTAAGCATGGGATGCGAGTCCATCGTAGATGACATCGCCTCTCGAAAGGCGTCGAGATCATTGTGACGGAATGCAACCTTAGTCGTGGCCAACGAAGCAGCCATGCCCGTGTGTGTGCTGAAGTGGACTAGTTCATCGTACACAATGGCATCTCCTGGCCGAGGGATTGCAGTGTAGATGGCAATATTTCCATTAGAGCCTGAATTAAACATGAGAGCTGTCTCTGACCCAAGAAAGTCTGCGATTTCTTGCTCTACTGCCTCGATATAGTCATAGTTGCCGCCCATCACGCGGGAACCACCTGAATGCAGAGCAAAATCGGGGTGTCTTGCCAGTTCTGCTAGGAACTCGGCTCTTAGTTCTCCTGTGAGTCCCGGAGACAACAGGTCGTTGGAGCAGAAGTCTATGGCGTCTCCGGTTTTCCAGGTATTTTGACCTCGGGTAAGCATAGATTGGGTAGATCGTCGAACATCCAAAGCCTCCTCGAGATTTCGGTAGAATGTTGGAGCATCCTTCATCTGGGGAACCACAGGTTTTTGGCTCTTAATCCAGGAGACCACCTCAGAGACACTTTTGCTGTTAGCTGCCATGGTGAAACTGCAGGAAGTGAGGAATGCTTTGCGCAGCGGTTCAAAGGCAATAGAGTGGTACTAAAAACGCTCAGTGATACAATCAGTCAATCTGACGAACTACTTCACACTCAATTTGATATATATATTACCTAATTGGGATTATGAATAGTTCCGTCGGCAGTGCGGCCCGAGATGCGGCTCATCGCTAACACGGGTTCCGGCCAGCGAAAGGAGGAGTTTGCCGCTACGGGACCCGGCTTATAGCTATTTTGTAGAATATAGGGGGGAAACGCGCAGGGTATCAGCAGGGATCATGTTTTGATGTTTATGAGAAGGCAGAGCTGCTTCTATGACACGGATAACTAGCTTTTATTTCTCAAACATCAGTAACGAATCACAGTTATGACCATCAACAATAATTGCAACGTTGATGCCCAGGACGTGACAATGGGGTTGAAAATGAATGGAACCAGTACGAACGGGCATTCAACGAACGGTGTGGATGCGAAAGGCCCATTACCCGACACCAACGGCATAAATGGTGTTTCTGCTGATGCGATCCCTTGCAATGGCCAAATCCCCATTGCAATTTGCGGTATGGCATGTCGCCTACCCGGTGGCCTAACGACGCCTGAAGAATTCTGGAATTTCCTCCTGGCAAAAAAAGATGGTCGATGTCGTGTCCCAGAGTCAAGATATAACATCAACTCGTACTACTCGGATGTTAAACAGCCGGGTACTGTCTCAACAGAGTATGGATACTTTCTAGATGAAAACACCGATATCGCTGCACTGGATATGTCCTTTTTCACCATGACACGCACAGAGGTAGAGCGAGCCGATCCTCAGCAACGACTGATGCTAGAAGTAGCAAGAGAAGCATTTGAGGATGCGGGTGTGACAAACTGGAGAGGCAAGACTATTGGTACTTACATTGGCAATTTTGGGGAGGATTGGCTGGAGATGCTTGGAAAGGAGACTCAGCCATGGGGGATACATCGTATCTCTGGCTCAGGAGACTTTGTTGTGGCCAACCGCCTATCTTATGAGTTCGATTTACAAGGACCAAGGTATAATATCTCTGAGTTAGGTTGACGTTGAAATACTTCCATACTGACACGGTCAAATAGCATGACTATTCGCACGGCTTGTTCTTCCGCTTTGGTGGCATTGAATGAAGCCTGCGCTGCTATTAGCAGAGGTGACTGTGAATCTGCACTAGTAGGGGGTGTCAATCTCATTCTTGCACCGGGGATGTCAATGGCGATGCAGGAACAGGGGGTCCTATCCAAGGACGGTTCATGCAAGACTTTCTCTGCTGATGCTAACGGGTACGCCCGTGGAGAAGCGGTTACAGCGGTTTTCATCAAACCGTTAGCAGATGCCCTTAGAGATGGCAACCCAATTCGAGCTGTCGTGAGAGCCACATCCCATAACGCGGATGGGAAGACTCCAACGCTGTCACAGCCTAGCACTGATGCACAAGAAGCTCTTATAAGGAGAGCATATGAGCTGGGGGGTATCAATAACTACGCGGAAACCGCCATGGTCGAATGCCACGGGACGGGAACGCCCACTGGGGACCCTATTGAAGCGAAAGCGGTCGCCAGAGTTTTTGGGGAGAAAGGAGTTCACATAGGATCAGTCAAGCCAAATCTCGGGCACACTGAAGCGGCATCCGGCTTGGTATCACTCCTGAAGATGGTGAAAGCACTCGAACACCGTATAATCCCTCCAAACATCAAATTCACTAGTCCTAATCCAAACATCCCGTTTGTGGATTGCAAACTCACAGTGCCCACGGAGCCAACTCCGTGGCCAGAAGACAGACTCGAACGGGTCAGTGTCAATTCATTCGGGATCGGTGGTGCAAATGCCCATGTTATCCTAGAATCTGCCGCTGCCCACAATATCCCGACTCCGGTTTATGAAACTCCGGAGACACCCCAGCTTCTACTATTCACAGCAAATTCGCCAAAGTCGATCACACAGCTAATCGACAATTACAAATCATGGATTGAGGAGAATCCAGACAAAGTGGGTGATTTGGCCTACACTTTGGCGAGGAGGAGGGAGCACTTACCGCACAGAGCATTTGCAATTGTCAGTAATGGTGTCGTTGACAGTGTTTCGCAGCCTACAAGATCAAAGTCAGCGAATCCGCCGAGTGTTGTGATGGTTTTTACTGGTCAGGGCGCCCAATGGCCCCAGATGGGACGAGAGTTGCTTCGATCGAATGAAGTCTTCAAGTCTAGCATCAGAGCTCTCGATCAATACCTACAGACCATTGACGCTGAGAAACCTCAATATACAATCGAGGAAGAGCTCAAGAGACCGGGAAAGAAGAGCCGACTGTCTTTGGCCGAATTTTCCCAACCACTTTGCACTGCAATTCAGATTGCACTGGTAGATACTCTCAAATCAGTAGGGGTTGTCCCAGATGCAGTCGTGGGTCATTCTAGTGGTGAAATTGCTGCAGCATACGCCTCTGGAGCTCTTACTGCTAAAGAGGCTATCACTGCTGCCCACCATCGTGGGGCTGTTACGGGTAGGCAGAAGCGACCAGGAACGATGGCAGCCATTGGACTGAGTTGGGGAGAGACTGAAAAGTACCTCGTCCCGAATGTAACAATCGCTTGTGATAACTCTCCCAAGAGCGTTACGATTTCGGGAGACGTTGATGCTGTAAAATCGGTTATTGCTACTATCAAGGAGGAACAGCCGCAGACACTGGGTAGGTTGCTCCAGGTTGATAAAGCCTACCATTCATACCATATGAAAGAGATCGGGGAGTATTACCAGTTCTTAATCGGCGAGGAAATGATAAGCAGGGCCCCATCAGCGCTCTTCTTCTCGAGTGTGACTGGCCATCTCCTGGACACAGAGCAAACAATTGGTTCAAAATATTGGCAAGATAACTTGGAATCGCCAGTTCGATTTAGAGAGGCCGTTATGGCCATTTTAAAGCACGACATTGGCAAGAATTCAGTCTTCCTTGAGGTCGGGCCTCATGGAGCTCTTGCAGGACCACTGAGACAAATATTCACTCAAGCCTCGTCTTCTGCTCCTTATATCTCGACCATGACACGGAACCAAGATTGTACTGCATCTTTCCTGGCCGCTATTGGCGCACTCCACTCACTCAATGTTGGTATTGATTTGAAGTCCCTCTTTCCTACAGGCTCTTGTCTTCCAGATCTCCCCCGATACCCATGGAACCATGAAGGGAGTTACTGGTACGAAACGCGCCTGAGCAAGGAATGGCGCAATCGCAAACACCCATACCATAATTTACTTGGTGCTAGGGTAGCTGAAAGTAGTGATAGTGAGCCTGTGTGGCGTAACTTATTCCATGTCACAAACACACCATGGATCCGTGACCACAGGGTTGCAGAAAACATTGTTTTCCCATTCTGTGGCTACATTGCCCTGGCTGGAGAGGCCATCAGGCAACTGACCGATATCGAGGAGGGATTCAGTGTTCGAAACATCCTTGTCAGCACAGCTCTAGTGCTAAACGAAGGAAAGCCGACGGAAATAATGGCCTCTTTTCGCCCCCACCGCCTGACGAACTCCTTGAATAGCGCATGGTGGGAGTTTACAGTCACAGCTTATAACGGGCGTAACTGGACAAAGCATTGCACTGGAGAAGTCTCCGCTCTTTCAACAGCGCTCGGGCAGGCTCAGAACCCTGATACCCTACCCCGAAAGCTTAACGTTAGAAAATGGTACGAGAAAATGAGCAAGGGTGGCCTGGATCTGGGAGGGTCATTCCAGACACTCGACACGATAACGACTTCGACTTCGACTTCGACTTCACATCAACAGGCAGTGGGTAACATTGTCAATGGAAGGCAAGGAGATGAGGCTAACTACCACATCCACCCTACTGTGCTTGACGGGACCCTCCAAATTCTTGGAGCTGCGGCAGTCAATGGATATGCGCGCAAAACTAAGACCTGGCTCCCAACCAGCATCGATAAAATTAGTGTCAACAGGTGCATGTCGGATGTAGTCACTAGCGTTTCAGCTAAGCTATCCAGTAATTTTTCGGTCATTGGGGATGGTCGTTGCACATCTGGTGGCATGACGGTCGTGGATGCCATCGGCATTCGAATGTCACTCGCAGATGGCGCCGGTGCATCCGAGCTTCCAGACGCACACGCAGCATCGAGGTGTAAATGGAGGCCTGACATCGATTTCTTGGATATGAATGAGCTCATACATGCACCCGCCGGCCGTACGGACCACCTTCGCCTACTGGAAGAGCTTGGGGACATATGCTTGCTATTGTCCCAACAGAGCTTTTCCGAATCTCCAAGAAGCCCTATGCTGCCCCATTTATCGAAATACGTGGCTTGGGTCCAGGCTCAATCCACTTCAATAGTTACCAGGTTACCCTGGACTTGGACAGGCCTTGACAATGAGGCTATCTCTGCCCGAATCGAAGGTATAATTAGTCGGCTAGCGGACACAGCCGCAGCTCCAGTCGCCAGTATCATCCGCCAGATTTGCACAAATATGGATTCTTTCCTCTCTGGGGAGAGCTTCGGGAGTGGTTTCTCAGATGGAATGCTCCTACCTGTCTATGAATTTATCGGACAACTAGACCGAACGGAATTTATTCGGCATCTGGGTCATTCCAAGCCCAACCTCCGAATTTTAGAGATTGGAGCCGGAAAGGGTGTGTCGCTGCATCATTCTATTGTCGACGAATTGACTCGTCCCGATGGTGAGATTCTCTGCTCCAAGTACACCATAACTAGCCCTGGGTATGTTGTGAAAACGACTCTAGAGAAGCTATTTCCAAATATGGAATTTGCGAGCTTCGATATAAGCAAGGATCCCTTCGACCAGGGGTTTGAAGACGTGGGATATGATCTCATTATAGCTGTCAACGCTCTTCACGAGGCAGAAGATGTTATAGGGAGCCTGGCCAACATCAAAAAGCTCCTACGTCCCGATGGCAGATTGTTTCTGCAAGAACTTTGTCCCTCATCAAAATGGGTCAATTATGTGCTTGGATTACTCCCAACCTGGTGGTCAAATGTTGCTAACGAGCCGGCTGGGACACTTCGTTTGGGCAAAGAAGGGTGGATTTCAAAACTCAGTGCTGCAGAATTTGGCAATATTGAGGCCGTAACCCTGGATGCAGACAAACCTCATCAGCTTACGGTCACAATGGCCGTAAGGCGGTCCTGCTCGACGCCCGCGAAAAAGATCACAGCTCTGCTTGGCGATGAAGGACCTGCTGTTACTCAAATCTTGGACCAGCTTGACAAGGAGGGCTATCAAGTGGCCAAGTGCAAATTGGGTGATATTCCGCCAGCAGGACAGGATGTAATTTCACTCCTGGACGTTGAGAACCCCTTTTTCCACGACATCAAGGAAGCACATTTTCTGTTATTCAAGACTTTCCTCCTCGGCTTACAAGACCGCGATGCAGGAATGTTGTGGGTGACTCATCTCATTGACATTGGCTGTAAGGATCCGCGATATGCACAAATTCTCGGCCTTTCCAGGACAATACGTACAGAGCAGCTGGCCGATTTAGCGACCTGTCAGGTCGACAGCTTTGAGAGTAACAATTCCATTAACCAGCTTCTTCAGGTCCTAGCTAAGTTTCAAGCACGGAATGGGGACGAAGAGCTCAATCCAGACTTCGAATGGGCCATTTTTAACGAACGGGTCCAAGTCGCACGTTTTCATCCTTTCGTCCTGGCAGATGAACTCTTGGTTGCAGAGGGAGCGAATGAGATGGCTACTTTAAATGTTCGTACACCCGGGCGAGTCAACAGTCTGCACTATGCACGTCATGAACGGAAGGCGCTTGAAAGCGACGAAGTGGAGATCCAGGTATATTCAGCCGGTTTGAACTTTAGGGTAAGTCCTAACGCCGCTTTTTCGATAATGTGTACTAACCAGCCGTACGTAGGATGTTTTGGTTGCACTGGGTATTGTTGAACTTCCGGTCCGTCTCTTCGGCATCGAGGCCGCTGGAATCGTCACTCGTGTGGGAACAGATGTTAGCCCTAATGACCTTCAAATTGGCGATCGTGTCGTTTGCTTTTGCAGAAAAGATGCCTTCTCCACATACACAACGACCCTGGCGGCTGTTTGCGTGCGAATTCCAGATAGCCTCAGCTTCAATCAAGCGGGAACGATGCTTATTCCATATTTCACAGCAATCCACTCTATGATCAATGTCGGACGTGTTAGCAAAGGCCAGGTAGGAAGCACGAAGACCTGAGTTTATTGGCGTCATAATCAAAGGAAAATCACTGATTAATTCGAATTGCATAGTCCGTCCTAATACATAGCGCATGTGGTGGAGTCGGTCTGGCAGCTATCCAAGTTGCCCAAATGCTCGAGGCTGAAGTATATGCCACAGTTGGAAGTGAGAAGAAGGTTGAGTATTTGATGGAAAACTATCACATCCCACGGAACCGAATCTTCAATTCCCGAGACAAAACATTCGTGGATGGTGTCATGCGTGAAACGGAAGGTCGTGGCGTGGACTTTATTCTCAATTCCCTCTCAGGCGAACTCTTACACGCTACATGGAGCTGTGTTGCTGAATTTGGAACAATGTTGGAAATAGGGAAGCGGGATTTAATCGGTGATGGCAAACTCGATATGAAACCCTTCTTAGCGAACCGCAGCTATTGTTGTGTCGACATTGACGGGCTGTGGAAAAGGATTCATATAGCCAGGGCCTTGATATTTTCCATACTGGAATTTTATAACAAGGGACACATCTCCCCTCTGCCCACCACTATATTCCCAGCATCCCAGACGCAAGACGCGTTTCGATTCATGGAAAAGGGCCAGCACATTGGACGTGTCGGTGTTTCGATGAAGCAGTCCGAGGAAGTTGAACTTGAATTCGAAACCACCAAGAGAGCATTGAAGATCGCCTTTGATGAAGAATCCTCTTACTTAATGGTTGGGGGCCTTGGAGGTATAGGTCGAGCCGTGTCTACCTGGATGGTCGACCACGGCGTCCGCGAGCTTATCTATCTATCCCGCAGTGCTGGGCGTACCAGTAAAGATGACGATTTTGTCCGCGAACTCCAGAGCATGGGTTGTGCCGTTAAACTTGTGAGCGGAGATACCACGAAGCTCGAGGATGTACACAGAGCCATTGCTGCAGCGACATACCCCATGAAAGGTATTGTGCAGATGTCTATGGTGGTCGCTAACGAAAACTTCACAGAGATGAGTTTTGACGAGTGGAATGCGTCGACAGCACCCAAAGTCCAGGGGACGTGGAATCTGCACAACGCTTCTCTAGCTGCAGGCATCGATCTAGACTTCTTTGTGATGTTCAGCTCGGTGTCGGGCATTGTTGGACAAGCAGGACAGGCCAACTACGCCAGTGGAAACAGCTTCCTAGATGCGTTTGCACAGTACCGTAACGGTCTCGGCCTTGCGGCCTCCGTTGTTGATATGGGGGCCGTCGAAGACGTTGGGTGGATTTCAGAGCACAAAGGAATGATGGGTAAAATGTCAAGGAGCGGCTTCAAGCCAGTTCTGGAGCAGGAGGTCATAGACGCGATGGCAATATGCATGCTAGTTCACAACAAGCCGGGTCATGCCGCTGAGGAAGTCCTTGCAACGGCTTCGAAAAACGCTTCGTGCTTCGTCCACAAAAACACATTTCTTGTCGGCCTTGCATTGCTCATCCCGCTGCACGATCCCAGCAACTATGTGATCTGGAAGCGAGACCGCCGTATGGCCTCATATCATAATAACTCAACGATCAGCACAGCCACAGCCTCCACAGATATCCTCAAGTCCTACTTGAGCAGTGCTCAAGCGGATCCTTCCATTCTCAAATCGTCGGAAGCAGCAAAGCTTTTTGCCGTCGAAATCGGTAAAAAACTCTTCGACTTACTGCTCAAACCCCAGGACGAGATTAATACAAGCTCGCCCTTGCTCGACCTTGGCCTTGACTCTCTGGTGGCTCTCGAGTTGCGTGCTTGGATCAAGCAGATTTTCTCTTTCGACCTTCCTATACTGGAAATGATGAGTATTGGATCACTCGAGATTCTCGGTCAATATGCGGCGAACGAGGTTTACAGGACTGCCACGGAAAATAACGAAGGCTAGGTATTTCGTCTCGGCGGATATCCCGGCTATGCAGTGAAAATGATATTCCGGGGTGGCATGTGGGTCTGACGGTTAAAGAGACATTGGTTGCCTAGGATAAGATACCAGAGATAGGTATGTAATTAAGATACAGTTAATGAGTTAAGCCAGCCACCAAGCCGCAAATTTATCACACGTCCTAAGTTTGTTGATCCATCAGCCCTTACATTAATCTCCTCCAAATCTCGGAGTACTTCCTCTATGTATTCACCTGCGCCGCTAAGATTCATGATCTTTGCAATGGCTCGATGGACACCGAGGAGTTGAGCTGATGGCGGGTCAATAGTCCGACTGGGGCTAAGTAACAGCGTACGGGTGACTGGGAATAGCGGATCGCGTAGAGAGGGGTTTTGCTCCGTTGAGTCAATTCTATATTGATACTGGGTGCTTGTTGGTTCGAAGTATATCTTGAATTCACCAAACTCCCGATGGTGATCATATGTCAGTGTAAGAGCGTTCAATGGGCTGTCAATTTTTGGGCCGTCAATAAGGTGAATAATGCCGGGGTCAAACATGTCTAAAATCCGGAGTACATTCTTCTTCGAGTCACTCTACAACGTTGTGTCAGTATAGCAGAAGGCACGGAGTGCATTCTAGCAGACGTACTAGCTCAGTGTTCTGAGATGCAACCGCTGTTAGGCAGTGCGGCAAAATATGGGCAACTTGCAGGTACCCGAACTCGTCGTTTCGCTTATTCTTCAATGGATTTCCGTCATCATCCTTGAAATCATCACCATCCTGCTCCAACCGCCTGCTGGCTTCGCTTTTATCAAACTTCCGAGAAACTACGCATCGATGATGATCACGCACGAGGCAATTTTGTCGCAGGATAGATATACGTTGCGTCGTGCCGGTAGGCGTGGACGGCTGTGTCAAGGACAGTGACGAGGGCGTTGGTTGCGGGGTCTTCGCCGACGAAGCTCTCACTAAAAATGCCGAATTAATTTGTGATTCTGCTGATCAGGAAGTACGGGGACATACGTGGGAGAAGAAAATTCTCGACGATGTATTCAGCAAATTTTTCAGAAGCACGATTAACGTCCTCCTTTTGATTCTGATCCCAGGTAGAAAAATCGTCAAAGAAGGACAGGGCAACCGTAATGTCTGGCTCCGTCGAATCCGTTACACCTGGGCATAGGTTCTCATAAAGGAATGAGAAATAGAATGAGAGGAATGCATCTTGAGCTTTAATATGTTCGAATGTGAGCTGGATAAGTGACGCCGGTTTAAAGCGGCGGCGGATAGTCTGCTCGACGCCGTAGAGCTGGACGAGGCTTCTGAGAAGTGTTGTTGCTCTTTGACGCTGTTGGGAATTTAGTGAAAAGGGGGTGGAGAAGTCCAATACCCTTTCTAAAGACGACTGATGCCGATGCAAAGCCATAACTATTATAGAGCTGGTACAGCGAAGGCGAGTGGCCTGACGAACCGCGTCCCGTCGGGTTAGCACGTAGTTTTACTGAACGATGGAGGTTGGGGCCGGGGATGATGTTGGCGCGCAGGAACAAAGTTGGACGTCATGGCGGACGGATAGTAACTAGCCCTAGCTTACATAAGCTACGACGCGACGTGTAACTGCTTGATGGAAACAGGAAAGTTGGCTGGAATAGGAGAATGAACAATCAATACTCCGTACACATTACACCCTTTGACGTTATCGAACGTAGATAGTGTGCAAAGGCACGCTACAACGACAAAGGCGAAAATTTTTCCTTAATAGTTAATACTGACTACTATCAGCCTTGCAAGAGAAAGTGATGATTCGACATTTGGTTGTTGTTGACAACCTCCGGTTGTCCAAAGGCACGCTCAATCGTGACGCTTGATAGAATCCGCCTATGCTGAAGAGTGGGCAGCTTTGAAGAAAGCGCGTTATTACACTGACGAAGTTGGTCAAGGACTAGCCATATCTTCGCCCGAGATGCTTGAGTCGGAAAGTCAAAGTGGTCTCGAAATAATGTCTGCAAGAAACTGCTGACCTTTAAGGCCCGTCAATGATTGCCCGTCAGACGCACTGAGCATATCATTCCACACACTCTCTGGAGCCCTATCCTAAGAAATGATGGAGAGAGTGTACCGAAGGTGCTGAACCGCCTCTGGCACCCAGCTAGCGGTCGGAACCCGCATACCCGGGTAGCTCACAGTTGCTACGGGGCTCGGGATCCGAATCTGGCGGCCTCAATCCCTGAACGAAAACTTCTGAATAATCGTGTGCTGAGTACTGTTGGGAATAAGTATAGATAAGCAATGGTATAGTCAGAGTTCTCGTCGGATAGCTAACGATATTGAACAAGCTTAGGATAATTGGTTATTGTGTTCATCATCAAAATGTGGCGTATCCCAATAGACACCCCCCAAGTCGCAGTCCCTAATGGACTCAAGCTTGCCGAAGTGACAGTTGACACTCCATTGGATGAAGTTTTTAAGCACTGGAAAGAAAGTGGCGGCGTCATTTTAAAGAATATCCTTACTGTCGCGGAAGCGAACCAGATAACAACAGAACTTGAGTCGCGCCTTAACTCGGTCCAACGAGGCTCATTAGTCCCGCATGCTGATCTCGCTGCCTTCCATGGCACCAAAACCAAGCGTGCAGGAGATATCATCAATCACAGCGCCACTTTTCGGGAGAAAATTCTTGAGAATGACTTTATACACTCCATTTGCAAGAGGTGCTTTAGTGAGGGTGGGCATAATGGAGACTACTGGCTCTCGGCAGCCACAACGCTGAATGCGTCAGGACCCCAGCCGGCACAAGTCTTACATCGGGATCTGACATCCTATCCGCCGTACGCCCAACTTGGACCCGAGGGCACAGAACCCCAGATCAACTTTCTCTTCGCCTTTTCCGATTTCACGGCTGATAATGGCGCGACACGTCTCATCCCAGGTAGTAATAAATGGCCATTTGATCAGCGTGGAAATATGGAGCAAACTATTCCAGCCGAGATGAAAACAGGAGATTGTCTACTCATAGGTGGGAAAGTGATACATGCCATGGGCGAGAATAAAACCGAGACGGAAAGGAAATGCACACAGCTTACAGTCATCCCGAGTTTCTTGACTCCAGCTGAAGCACATCCATTCATAATCAAGCTGGAGACGGTGCAGAAGTTGTCAAAGCGTGCACAACGGTTCGTGGGATTTCGGTCTCAATATCCTCGGGGATCTCCTGGATTGTGGACCAAAGATTACATCGAATTGGCATTGCATCTAGGTTTGGATGACCTACAGGGTGCTATGGAGGATTTGCAGGATGTCATTAACCAGCCTAAACACTGGGACACAATGGATTATCAAAAGACTGGATAGTTAAACGCAGCTACTTTCTACTAGCTACTCAATTAACCTGATCTATCATACGTGCTATATTACAGAAACATCCTTACATATGCCCCGTTACGTTTAGGGGTGTGAAATTAGACGACGTTAACCTCCCATTGCTACCAATCCGTATTATTCCTCGAATCGCTGGTTCCCAAGATTTTCTCCGCTCAGGGCAATCTCGTCGATAAATATTGAAGTCACAAAACCTAGTCCACCGAGCCCTGTCATCGTATAAAATATCGTCTGGAAGCATTTTAGATAGACTTTCAAAACAGGAAGAAGCGTTTCAGGGGAAATGTCTAGAGATCTGAGCTTTTCAATAAAGGCGACGGCATTGGAGGCATCGCGGAGGGGCAGCAGAGGACCTGTAAGTTGTGCTGAGGAGGATGATATGGTTGTCGAAAAAGACAGTGTTAAAGATTGACGAAGCGATGGTTAACCCGATCAACCCTCCAAACATACGAATAGTGAGAAATAGCCCGATCGCTAGGCCCGTGTCGTCGACCTTTTTCACGCTCGCTTGCATGGGTAAAAGATTAAGACGGAGAAGAGCAACGCCTGCTCCCCAGAGGATAGGAAGTCCAAGACGCATTGATGATGTTGATTCTACACGGAGAAGGGCTAGCAAGCCGGTTCCCAGTGTGAGTATAATCCATGAAAGCCGTAGAAGCCATACATATCCTCCAAAAAAAGGAACCATCATCATTGAGGTGGCTGCAAGCAATACACTTGTAACGACAGTAGGCAATAGAGAAACGGCGGATAATATCGGAGTTTCTAGCTGTACGGCTTGGTAAATCAGGGGCAAATATTGTAAAAGCGAGACCAGAGTTGCGCCGTGGATAAAGCCTCCTGCTAATGTCATATTTGCAGTCTTCGAGTGGAAAAGGCGATGGGGCATGATAGGGGCTGCGGGTTTTGCTTCGTAGAAGCCAAATATAGCAAGCACTAAAAACCCCAGGAGCATTGGGACAAGAGTTTGCCAGGACGACCACGGGAACAGGGAACCGGCCCAGCTGATAGGTAAAACTAGTATAGTAATACCAACAATAACGAGCGTCATACCAATCCAATCCAGGCGGGCCAAGTTTTTGGCAAGTGATTTATCCAGTGGGACTGGCCGTAATTTGAGGAAGAAGTATATTAGGGGCATGCCAATCCCTAGTAACGGCAGGTTTACCCATCCAATCCATCTCCAGCTAGCATAGGTAGCGAAAAGTGCGCCAACAGATGGTCCCATTATATTGCCGATAGCCAGCACAATGCCCATCAGGCCGATATATTTGGAGCGTTCCTGCAGTGTCGTCATATCGGCGATGACCACCTCCACTAGAACATCGATTCCACCTCCACCAAAGCCTTGAAGCACTCGGCCAATAATAATAGTGTTCATATTTTTGGCAACGGCAAAAACGACTGAGCCGACGAAAAACAGTGTCATGCACACGTATAAAGGCGGTTTTCGACCAAATGCGTTGGAAATACTCGCCCAAATCGGTTGCATAGCAATGCCACATAGTGTATAGGACAAGTTCGCCCAGAAGGACTCTAAGCTTTGGCCCCCCAGATCAGCAGCTATGGTCTATCAAAAATATCAGTATGGATAAAATATATAAGATAGAGTTGAGGAAAGATTTGTATATTGCTCACCGGGAGGGCAATACCAAGAGCCGTTGCATCCAACTGAAAGACAAAAAGGCTAGAAGCAAGGCCTACAAAGGCCAGCTTGAAGGCCAGCGACTTCTTTGGCGATGTCTCGACATCGTTTGCTGCATCTATCTCTCCTTTCTCTATCTCTGTCTTCTCTGATATTGGCTCTGGATCCGACTCTCCCGGACCAGCGGGCGTAGAAATCTCGGCACTAACTCCACTAGTTTCAAGCTTTGAGGCGCTCATGCCTAAAATAACTAGTACGATCGACTAGTTAGTTAGTTTATCTCTCAGCCTATGTCAAAGTCGCGTCAACTTGAGAGAAAGGGCAGTTTTCCCAGGAATTGGAGGCTGAGGATAAGTTATCCAGATGAGATAACAAAAATGAATGTGCATCCAGGCGAAGGATTAAGGGGGAGAAAGGGGAACAAAGGGAAAGAGCGGCACCGTCCCGGTGGTTCGCGGAAACTAGCTATCTAACTAATTAGGGCAATTGGTTATCACGTGCCTGCTTAAGTAACTAGGTGGACCAGAGGAACGCCGGGTTCCGGAAGCCGCTAACGGGGAAGGTTCGGGCCGCCCGGTCCAGTGGGTCCAGCAAAGAAAGGCAGATGTAGATGGCTAATAATCTAGTGACGGGATAAAGACTACGTCCGTGCATAGGCGTTCATATTTTCTGGCAGTACGGGTTTTGAATAGATCACAGGAATTTCAATGGGTTTTCTTCCCTTTGGAAGGCAACGTGCCTCTCCACCTACAGTGCCAACAGACACCATCATTCCTTTTCATTACTGGGATGATGATCACCATACACGAGGCCTCTCTTTCGATATCGTATTTCGCTTTGATGATATATTAGATCACGACAAGCTGCGGCGTGCTTTATCTCGGCTGCTCGAAATAGGAGATTGGCGGAAGCTTGGCGCTCGAATCCGTAGGAATACAGACGGAGGATTAGAATACCATGTGCCACAATCTTTCAGCAACGAGCGACCTGGTTTTGCATTCTCTACAACTGGATATGGCATCAATTTGACTGAACATCCGCAAGCATCACGCTTAGCTCAACCTCATAACCTTCATGCTGCCGGTCGCCCCTCTGTTTTTAGCACTGCATATGCCGCTACGCCGGAGTTCAGGTCCTTCATCCGAACTGCAGACTTCCCCGATCGCTTGGAGGGTTGGCTATGCTCGGATAGCCCCCAACTGGGGGTTAAAATTGTTGTCTTTCAGGATGCTACACTTGTTACTATTTCTTTCCTACACAGTCTAATGGACATGGTAGGCTTTAATGATATCCTGGATGCATGGACGGCAGTGCTGCGCGGGCAGGAAAATCGAGTGAAGCCCTTTATCGGATTCTTTCAGGACCCATTGGCCGGTCTCAGCAAGACGAAAACAAATCAACTACAAAAATATGTGTTTACTGACACGCTGCTGATGGGTTTTGCATGGTTCTTGTTTGCATTGCGCTATATATTGACTGTTGAGTTGTTTTGGCATCGCAGGGAGGAGGATCGCGTTATTTTCTTGCCAGCCAAATACTTACATAAAATGCGTGATAAGGCTATTGACGAACTTACATCAAATCATGTCGGCGACAGCAGCAGACTCCCCTTTATTAGCGAAGGAGATGTTCTATTTGCTTGGTGGACAAAAGTGGTTCTTCAAGCCGAATCACCTTCTCCCAGTTGCACGATCAACATGCGGAATACATACTGTTGCCGGTCCGTTTTAGCAGAGCTTGGCCACATACCATCAGCTACATCTGCATTAGTAACTAATGCAGTATTTGCAGCTCTGACGTTTCTTTCCGTTCGCCAGGTTCTTTCCAAGCCTCTAAGTTTTACTGCATCCGAAGTCCGCAAGTCTCTTATACAACAACGAACTCCAGAGCAGCTCCAAGCATTAGATGCTATTCAAAGAAACACGCTCGACAATGCACATCATCCAGCCCTCTTTGGAAACCCCAACATGTATATGATAATGATATCAAATTGGGTCAAGGCCAAGCTTTTTCAAGTGGATTTCTCTTCTGCAGTCCGAAGAGAAGGAATGTCGCTGGACAAGCGAAGTAATCAGCTGGGCAGACCGTCTTGTATTCAGGGTACTGGGACCAGAGACTATGCAACACGAAACACTGGTGTGGTGATAGGAAAAGACGCTTCTGGGAATTGGTGGCTTTTGTATACTCTGCGGAAACAAACTTGGCCGGCGGTAGAAGAGCAAATTCTTTCTATGGCAGAAGATACGTGATTATCTAGATACATATTCACTTTCTAATCTCAAAATAATCAAGAGTTGAAGGAATATACCATAGCTCGCCGGACTTAGTTCCAGTAAATAAATAGGCTAAAAAAGGCGCTTCCTTGTCCAATCTGTGATATCTCGGGGTTTACCAACTAAGCCTTCTATTTGACAATCTTTTAGTCTCGTAACTAGTTATAGCCTCAAGAGACTGGAGCTTTTCTTTAGCAAAGAAGGACAGATTTTGCTTCATCGATATTAATGACTACTGTCTTCTCGACACATGCTCTCCCACCTCCTTCTTAGGATCGGCACAACGAACCATCCCATCACAACAGTCATCAATGAATCTACAATCCCAAAACCCCTCTTCGGACTTAACCCTGTCATATTGGTAAACAAAAGACTCGCAGCCAATGAATCCTCGCAGATGATAAAGTCGCCCTTTTCTACCCGCGCGATAATACCCAGGGCGACCTTTTCAGAGGATGGAAATTTCTTTTCTAGTTCCGAAAAAGTAGGCACGTTGGTTCCTTGTATGCGTTTGGTGAGGTTAGGCTTGGTATCTTGTTCAAGCACGAACCCAGGGGATATGAAGTCAGCCGGGAAGGCAATGTGAATTGTATAAGTGGTAGTTGGAGAGTTGTGCCGGAGGACTTCAAAACGGAGCGTGTCTGCTAGTGCTCGAACAGCGCTTTTTGCGGCTTTATATGGGATGATGTTAGGTAATGATCACAGAATTGGATCTCCAGGGAATAGTGAGCTTACGGGTGTAGGCGACACTCCCAGGCAGCCCCAAAAACGCCGCGGCGCTATTTATAAAGACAATCTTCCTGATATTTGGGCCATACTTTTTCGGTGTTTCGTTGATAGCTATTGGAGTTTTATCATTCTTAACCCAAATATCCAACATGGCTTTCGCAGCATAAGCAGTTGAATAATAATTGTTCTTCATGCAAGAATCAAGCTGTGCAGGCTGTAGGTCGAGAAAAAACCCGTTCTCTGCATGGTTTCCGCCAGCAGAGCAATACAGAAAATCGGCTATTCGAGGCTGGGATTTGAATGCTTCGGCAACCTGTTTTATAGTCAGTGCAAAAGACAATAATATATTGGCAAATGATTTCAGGGCAACAAACCGCAGAGGCATCAGCCATATCAACAACCACCGCATTTATCTCTTGTTTACTAGCATCCGCACAATTCCTAATTATTTCGTTCTTCGCATCTTGCAGAGGGCCAGGTCGCCGCGCAAATATTGTCACATGTGCACCTTAGGCTGAATATCAGTAAATAGTCAATGTATATTTTCTACCGTTCAAGCTTGGAGAGCTTTCAAACCCCGTGAAGCCACTGCGTTGGAAATTGCTTTCCCTAATCCGCCAGAGCCACCGGTAACAAAAACCGTCCGTAGAAAATGTTAGCAGGTATAGCCGCGTGGCACTGATATCGCCTGTTGATGGCCTTTCTATAGAATATACGCGTACTTTACCAAAGAGATCCCGGTCTGTGTCCATCCTTTGATTCCAATCTGTGAGTTTTCGAGGTCAGTGTAAGCCAGGTCTACTCCAAAGCTCCACCAAAGCTATTAAGAGCATTCTATGAGTAAAAGTGCCCATGTACGCCTCTCTTCAAGCCGTTAAGAGTTATTTGGAGTGACGTAGAGAGAACCTTCGGTATGCTCGGAGCCAATCGGGGCGATCGCCGCCCGGGTCCCGTTCCCGCGAAAGTTGCGGGGAACCTTAAGCCACGAGGTCTTGGCGTTTACTCCATCACGTGACTGTTCGCTCACCCGGCCGGAATCGCAACGAAAGAGCAAAACGGTGGCTGAGCAGCCAAATAAATACCCCAGTGCCATATAGAACTGATATATACAACGCTGTAAAATTTAGCCTCTAACATTATATTTGTCTATGGAGTGATGGTGGAGTGGCCAGTGTTATTGATAGTGTTGGCATGGGGTCTGGCAGCAGAAACCGCTTAGGTACGCCATCTTCGGGTTATCGCTTATCCGATTCGTTAGTTAGCCAAACGCTGGCTTCCTCAACATGGCATGACCTGGGCAGACTTTTAATACTGAACCCTCCTAACTGATAAATCCTTTTTAAATGCGCTTTAACTCCGTAAAGCCTATCTATCGGCTTGCTGCTCCTTTCCTGTGCCGGCTTTTGAGACATCCGAGAACCATGCGAGTTTCCCAGTCTTTAGCCGTTGCGGAGGATGTTCTCCGCTCCGTCTTTCCTGCTGCAACCACTTAGTTAGATGGAGTGTCTCAGCCGCTCTCTTCTGTCATCTTCTTCTCTTGTCCTACGTTCTGGCCTGCAATATTACCCGGAGCAATCTCTACCAGCCCATGACAGCGTTGATCATGACCCGGAAGCGGGATATGGGCCCCGCTAACCACGGCACTTCGATCTCGTGTTCATTCAGCTCAGCTGCAAACCCCGGGAAGGGCGACTGGGCCGGAAGTACCAAGGATTCTACGGACGGATTTATGAATACATTCCATGTCAACGTTGATCGGGGGACGAGCTCCCCAGCCTTGCTATGTTTATATGTAGATCCTGCCAACTTCTCCCGCTGACCAATTGATTCGCAAGTAGGCCCAACTAGTTAACTAACGGGTTAGTTAACTTGAGAGACGATCACGCTAAAACATGCATAGCTACATGCTTAGTCGTTATAGGCACTACATTCGACATTCTACTCTGTAGGTACAGTTTGACGTCGCAGCCCATCTGTGTTAGACTATCTAGATAGGGTAGAATACTTATCGACAACCTGTCTGGCGAGTTTTACAAGGACCACTTCTTGTTACCAGAGATACTGGAGAGAAGCCAATCTAGTTTATCCAGTGTCAAGAGCTCCCTGTTCAAGAGCTGCAGAAGAGCAACCCCGAGTATACTGCCTCGCATCACATCATGCCGATGAGAATGCACTGTACTCCGTGACAGTAACATACATCACATCCTTCAACAGCAACATGAATGGTGGGGTCTAGT